TGTTGCACATTCAATTCCTGCAAGTCAAACCGGTGGTTTTGATCACAACCAGTGACCTGTGCGTCGTCGGCATAGTCATCTTTATCGTAGCTCATGTGATGGGTTGAGCGTCGTGGGTCCGCCCTCGCTTTGTTCCGACATGCTTTCTCAATATGTCCTATCTTCCTGCAGAACCGGCAGGACACCTTACTGAATGGGCAAGCGTCTTGCCTGTGCTTTCCATGGCAACGGTAGCATTGCGGCTCCGCTTGCACTTTTTCCGCCTCCGAGGGGCGTCTTGCAGGTTGCGCTGATGTAATCTTATGTTGGTCGGCCGTGGGGGCTTTAAGCTCCTGCTGCAGTTGAACGGCGCTCTCAAGTCGTGTTGCCATGTCGTAAGCTTGCTTGAACGTCAAGAGTTTTTTCTGCGAAAAGCCTTTGCTGTAGACGCTCATCTTGCACGAGACTAAACGGTCTCTGAGTGTCACGTCCAGTGGTAACATGGTTGGGTTCGATACTAACGGGTCGACGGCTGCTGATGCTCCAGCGCTTGTTGTCGCCACCGCTGGCCTTGTCAAAACGCCGAAATTGCAGTCGGCAGCTAATTTCTTCAAAGTAACCACATAGGTAGCGATTGACTCGCCGGGCTGTTGATCGCGGCATTGGAATTTGCTTCGGCTGAACAGTTCCGAAGGCCGTGGGTCGTAATGCTGCTGGAGCAAAGACATGATGTTTTCAAAGCTTACCTCTCCTGGCTTATTCGGGGCCGTTAGGGCTTGTACGGCCTCGTAGGTTTCCGCGCCACACAGGGTCAGCAGCAGAGCTCTCTTTTTCCCAGGGTCCGTGATCTCGTTTGCTTGGAAGAAGAAATCCAAGCGCTCCGACCAGGCTGTCCATCCTGTTCCTTGAAACTCCTCGAGCTTACCCTGTGTCGTGGTCATTCTTGAACAGCCGAGAACGTTGCCGATTGAAGTTGTTGTCCGCCTCGTCGCCAATGTTACATCGAGTCGGTTCACAGGAGACCACTGGTCAAATCGGTTTAATCACTTCGGAGCCCGGCGTTCGTCTGCCCGCGCACCCCGAGCCTCGAGCACTCAGTGCCCACGCTCCTCGAGTGTCCTCGAGATTATAGGCGCCAGTCTGTCAGACAGTACATAACAGAAATTTCATGGACAACTCGGCACAAACTTTTGGATCCCAAAGGAGATTTTGGGAAGCGCACGTGCTGAAACGGGCCCCCGATAAAGCGCACAGGGTGAAACGGGAACTGGCCCATCTGGCCCAATGCACCCAATGCTCTGGGGAGAGGGCGTCCAATCTGGCTAGTGTGGTGTACAGAACGGCCACTAGAGGACACTAGAGCCGCCGGCGTTTCATCCATCCGCTTCGTTTGCGCAGCATAGTTACGGTAGTTTGTTTCGGAGGTCTAGCTAAAAACGTGCGTTTCTCGTTGTCCTGGGCCACGGAGCCTTCAAGGCGATGGAGCTGTCCCTGACAACGTCGACGACTTTCTATAAGCCGACTCTGCTGTCATTGCGAAGGAGCAGGAAACTGGCAAGGCGATAGCTAGCGATGTTCATGGGAACTCGCAAGACGGGGACGACAGCGAGCCTGATGAGCAAGACACCTGGCGATGTGCCCAGTAACTGTGAAGTGGTGGACGCGATCAATGTTTTGAGGCGGTTCGTGAGCACCCAGCAAGAAAGAAGACGCGATGCAAACCGTCTGGCTATGCAAACCTCGAATGATGCCAATAATAATGTCAAGAGTGGTCAAGAAAAAGGCGATGGACTACTTTCAACCGAAATAAAGGCTTCCTCGGCGAGTTTTGTGCACCCGGGAAACATTTGTGGAAACTCTTCAATGTTAGCCCCAAATTTCTATGCAGCGAAATTTCAATGTAACAAACTAAATTCCAAATTTTACCGACTTCGTTACATCGAGGTTTGACTGCATAAGTAAAAAAAAGATGTGCCACATGCCTGGGCCCTGGATGACACAAGATCCTCCTCGCCGGTCCTCTCTTCCAGTTGAGAGAGGCTGTAACACTGCTTTAGCATACAATCTTGCCATTGCCCCCCTTCTTTTTTGTTTGGAAGCACACATTTGCCTAATTATTTAGTTTTCAAGTTATTCACCATTTCTTCTCTCGTCATCTGTGACAACACGAAACTTGAGTATGTTGGCTAGCAAAGTCTTCCTCCATATAATTTTCTAGACTAGTAGGAAGACAGGACCACAGTAGCAGCTTTGCACCTTCAAAAAAAAATGTTGTAATCAGGATAGGTCTATATTCATAAGTAATATTTCATTTTCCTTTTGTCATTTGCTCTTACCCACACAAAGCAAATGCACCGGACGTAGGAAGTAAACATTGATGTTCGTAGAAAGAATAGAAATAAAATAATAAATTCTCCGCTGCCAAACTCTCCACACTCTGCGTTTATTTACTCCGATTTCTTTTTAAATTGCAATTAGCACCAGCTACTTACGTATTATGGTTAAGTAAAAGTGGTTTGCTTACTGATGAGGATGGAGACTCCTCGCCCTGAAAAAGCTGGCAGAAAAATTTATACTGGAAGATTAGAAAAAATTTAACTTGACAAGGTAAGAAGTAAACTGTTTCCAGCAAACCAGCTTGGAACAACTCCAGCAAGAAAAATACTTTCTACATATTGATGCCCACTTTAAAACCAATTTTCAGATTAAAACAATGTAAAACAAGTGTGAGAGGTACCATTTTGAAAGACCTTTAGACTTCTACAACCATTTGAAAAACCAGCAACAGCCAGCGTTAGCATTGCGCTTCTTTCAGAATGCGGAGGGAGGCATCCAATCATAGCAGCGACTATTGTAGGAAGGGGCATGTTTACGGGTCGGAGTACTGCAACGATCCTGGCAGGGTGTACTAGAAACTTGCGCCGTTTTCCCCTTGGACGACGTAGTCCCTCAGCGCATCCGTGCCGCTAGGGGAAAACTTGGGGCAAGAGACAGGGGTGCCGTAAGGGTCTCCTTCGGTCGTCGTCGGTCGCCTGCTCGGATTGCTCGCTTCTGCGTGGTTACGAGAGACTTCCTAGAGGAAGTCTCTCGTACTTCCTTTCTTCCACACACACTTTCAGCGTTGAGCCCATTTCACGTGACACGATTCTGCTTGTGGTTTTAATTCTTGCATGGCGAAAAGCCCGCAAATGCGTCACGCATACACATAAGACACCCTCCACAGCTTTTATTTTTTAAGGCGAAAGCCTTATAAGTCTCATCATTCAGTTGTCCTTGAAAGTCCTTGGGCAAAAACATGACGACGCGAAAGCTTCCAAAACTCGACGGCGACACGCAAGGTACCAAAACCCCCAGTTTGCTACTGGACCACGAGATGGTGTTACTTGTGGCAGAATCAATGGAGGCGCTATATTCATCGAAAAATACTTTTTGCTTTTATCCCTTGGCTGGCGTCAAACCAGCAACATCTCGTACAGTAGTCCGACGCAGTACGCCTCCGCCGCCACATCCATAAATCGTGTGTCTGTCTTTAATGCATCGGGGCTTGCACTTTCGCTTTCAAGTTGTCTTAAGGATAACATACGAGACCCTGTGTTTTTTGGTTTCTCTCGATCGAGTGACGTTGCAACCGGAAAGTCCCTAATATTGCGAGCCGGACTGCACTACATAAAACGGCTTTACCCTGCGGAGTAGCTGGAAGTGTCCTTGCACACTTTCTTCTTGCTCCGCACTTCCCGTCTTTGCTCTGTGTTGACGGTTGATGGCACAGAAGAATTACCGTCAGAAGCAGCAACGCAATGAGGCGTGCCGCCGATGCTGCGTCCGATGATCACCACAAGAAGAAGCATGCATGAACTACTTCCGTGCATCCAACGCAGCGCCGTCTTGTACTTCATTCACCGTTTTGTGTGCCGTCACGAAACATGCAAAGCATGCAAAACTACCAAGTGTTGCAAACAATCGTCAAGATGAAGCAAAGCCAAGTTGACAAAGCGCAGGAGCGAGCAAGCAGCCGTAGCAGACGACGCGAGCCCGCAGAGGAGCGGTAGCCATGGCAATGGAGGGAGAACGTGCGCCTCGGCCAATGGTAGTCACGCGCTCTCTTGAGCGCACGCTTTGACCAATCGCAACTTCGCAACCGCGAGGCGGAAAAATGCAGATTGCGTCAAAACAATGCGACGAATACCATTTTGAAGGGCGGCCAAACGAAGAGAAAAAGAACTCTGCTTCAAAACAAGATTAAGGGAGGACACTACCCAGAAAAAAAAATTCTGCAAAAAAACGTTGATTTTGAAAAATTACATATTTACATCCATTTCTGAAAATACTCTAGAGAGTATTCCCAGAAATTTTCACTAGTTTACACAGCATAGTTAATTTTTTATAAATTATTTTCTGTCCACCGCAGCTAAAGAAAAGGTAGGGTTTGGAGCACTTTGAACACATTTTTCTCCGTTCCACTTTTTGGTGTAAATTCCATTTTAGTCACTATCATTTGATAATGGCAAGACCCAGGGAAGGTTCACTCTTCCCTTTTCCTGACTGAAATTCAATAAGGAATGCAGCTATGGAATGTTTTTGTCACTTTACAGATGTCTTCTATAAAAAAATGTTGACATTTCGTCAAAGGCACAGAAGACCAAAAAGTTGACCGATTTTGCAGAAGAGAAAATTGATAGAAATGAAGGACTTTTTACAAAAAGGTTTCCATAGCCGCACCTCCTAGGCATTCTGCTACATATCTAGCGAATAAAAATCATGAATATCGTGATAGTTTTCCGACGATAGGTTAAGGGTAAAACCATCAAAAAAAATCCAATTTTCAATTCTGACGCTGAAAAATCGGCCGCACAACGAAAAACAAACCCCCAAAAGCGCGGCCTCGAGTGCCCGCTCTAAACGGTTTAAAAGTCGCGCCAAGTGTGCCACACCCCCTGGCGTTTAAAAATGACGACAGAGATCGGAGGCCGGTTTGTTTATCTTTGTCTTTCGGTGTTTTATTAATTTTGGTACCGTTTTTTTTTTTTTTTGTTATTATGTGTGTGTGACTAGTAAATGATGGGTACTGAAATATAATTTATTTCTTAAAGTATTTATTTATTCGCAAATGTGCCGCTAGTGGTGCCCTTGTAGCTAGTTCCATATTTCTTTGTTATTGCTCCGAACATTTCAGTTGTGGTCGATTTAGGACTTTTGGTCGCCTCTGTTTCGTGTTTCAAGTGTATTACTTGCCCAGAAGATGCCACGATCGTCCAGCAAATGGACCAGAAAGAAAACTTTCAAAGGTAATCGGTTCACTTCCAAGAAAAGCAGTGAGAAACTGACACGACGAAGCGCAAGCTTTACGAAACTTGGTGGGACTATCGGTGGTGAATCCTTCGATGTCGACAGGACGAGTACGACTGGCTTCCGCCTAATCGACTTCGGTCTTCTCCGCAGCTTCTTGCAGGATGTTGCTGTGTGTAAAAAGTGCAACAAGGGAGAAATAATTTTGGAAGAAGCTTGGCATCCTGCATAAATGTCACCTGCAGCGAGTGCGATGCTCTCAGTGTGCTCGAAACATCCAGGCGTACTGCGGGCAACGTCTTTGAAGTAAATCAACGGTTCGTTTATGCCCTCCGCACCTGCGGAAAAGGATTGACGACTGGTCGCATCATATGTGCTGTGCTCAATCTGCCGCCACCACCAACGAAGTTTGCATCGTACAACGCGAGGCTTCTCGACGCAACCACGACCGTTGTGAGCAAAAGTATGGCAAAAGTATGGCAAAAGCTGCCGAAGAACTGAAGAAAGAGGCCTCTGCCTTTGATGGGGAGCTGGAATGTGCTGTCACAGTGGACGGCACATGGATGAAGCAGGGTTACTCCTCGCTACACGGCGTCGTAGCAGCAGTATCAGCTGACACAGGAAAAGTGCTAGACTTCGAAGTTGAATCTAAGTTTTGCCACATGTGTGCCCGCAACCTTCACACAGATGACAACTTGAGTGAATGTAAAATAACCTACGATGGGCCATCTGGTGGAATGGAATCTGCAGGAGCTGTAAAAATCTTTGGACGCTCTGTTGAAAAACACCAAATAATGTACACAACTTACATCGGTGATGGAGACAGCAAAGCGTACATCGCTGTCAGAGACTCGCAGCCTTACGAAAAGGTCATAGAGAAACATGAATGTGTTGGACACGTCCAGAAACGTATGGGCACAAGGCTAAGGAACATAAAGAAGAACGAAAAGAGGAAAAAGCTGGCAGATGGTCTGCCACTCTCCGGGAAAGGACGCCTCACAGAGAAGGACATAGATTCCATTCAAGTATACTATAGCAAGGCTATTCGGGGAAACACAGAAAATTTGGAGAATATGAGACGAGCTGTATGGGCGATATACTTTCATAAGTTATCAACAGATACGAAGCCCAACCACGGATTATGCCCAAAGGGTCCATCTTCATGGTGTGGGTATAACCGCTGCACTGTTGAGGGAAACCTTCAGACATACTCCCACAAAAACTACATTCCTGAGGCTGTGATGGAAGTCATCAAGCCAGTGTTCAAGGCATTGTCAGATCCAGCTCTTCTGACCAAATGTCTTCATGGACGAACACAGAACACAAATGAATCGCTGAACCAACTGATCTGGTGCCGCTGCCCTAAGACCACGTTTGTCAGCGCTGACACATTGAAAACAGCAACTAACGATGCTGTGGCCTACTACGATGACGGCAATTCTGCACGAAAAGCTGTTCTGGAGGCCCTTGGAATTGTTCCAGGCGTGTTTTGTGACATTGCCCTAAAGAAGATGGACAAAGAGCGCGTTGAAAGGGCAGAATTATACAACTCTGCCGAGAGCAAGGAAAGACGACTGAAAAAAAGGAACGCTAAGAAAGGTTTCAGAGACACCAGAAAGAAAGCCAAAAGCGAAATGTATTCTCCGGGAGCATTTTGAGCATCCATAAGCAGTATGTGAACATAAAACTTCTTTTCTCAAATTGCATTTTTATGCATTTCTTGAAATTCGATGTACCTTTCCTTTGAAACCATTGATCCAAATCCAGTAAAACTTTACACACATGTACTGCAACCTTTCATAAATATATTGAACTAAAAAAATCACTGATTACTTGCACGCTAATAACTGAAAAAAAATCCCACTGCGAGACACCCCCTTTGTGGCTTGAAGCATAGAGTGATTTTTTTTTCGACAAAAACTCCAAGGAGAATATAATATCTCTTTAGTTCAGATATAATCTACGGGAGTTCAGAATATCATCGCCTAATATCATCACATTCCTCTTTGTGGCTGCTAAGAAAAGGTACATTGAATAATTAAACAGACCTGAAATTTTGGGGGTGGGCCATAGGAAGGATAAGTCATCTAGCCACAAAAAATGGGTGTCATATTATACCCAGTGGCATTCTTTTTGAACACCGGTCTCTGAAATATTCCATTAAAACTAATGTGTACCATTCACCCTACCATACCCCCTTAACTAAACTATGTAGGCGTGTTGCTGATAAAAGCTGCCCTAATTTTCTTCCAACTTAACCGAGAGACATGAAATTTTTGTTATGTACCCTCTAGCATGACCACCAGCCTACCCTGTAAATTTCATTAATGTTAAGCCAAGGTTTCAAAAGTTGACCCTCCTAGGGGTGTGTCCCCTTAAAACAGTGGCCGTCTGTCAAGTTGGATGGGAGCGACAAGTGCTCAAAACCCAGCTCTATTTTCCGGCTCTAGCAAGATTTGGAAGCCGCCGAGACCTCGAATATTTTCTTTTGAACATATTTTCTTGATGAATTAGGTGCTGTTAATTACGGAGGAGGTAGCTTACAAAATATGCAACCCAAAAAATTGGGTTTCCAATAATCGACTTGTTAGCAATTTTTCAGTTTTCAAAGCCCAAGCCCCGCCCCCTCTTCCCTGGGGTAGAACTTATGAAATGTATTTGGGAGCAGCTAAAGCTACATTCTAGAGCAGGTTAGGAGTAGCTCAAATCAGTTTTCATGGCACTTCAGCTTGTGTCTTAGATAAGCACAGAAGCAATTTCAATTGTGCACACTGATGAGCATGAGGGACCTGATGGGATAACATTGTAACAGATGCCAAAACTTGAAACATTGTGAGCCTTTAATGAGAACCAAAAAGCATTACAACCTCCTTTTGTTTACATTAATGAGTACTCAGTACATCCATGTTCCCAAAGATAGTCTCTCTGATATTTTCTCAGTGGTTTTCAGCTGCTCAAAATGTGAACCAGCAACGCTCATTGCGCAACCCACACGTGTTCGACATAACCGTATGTGTGAACCACGTGACGCGTGCAAGCGACGGATGTGTAGTTGCACGGAGGAACGGGGCAAAGCATCACAAATTTCGAGTTTATTCTATTGCGCAAGCCAATATTGAAGTTGCCGCTTTGCAGCAATAAGCAGAAGCGAGGCTCAAAATGCATTGAGCAGGTCTACCGCTTGCGTGAGAGCTGCTGGCCGGCAAGGTTTCGGATCAGACCTTAAAGAGACTTCAAACGGAGCTAATGCGCCGGCAATTGGTCAATACTCTGCCGGCACCGCGCTTCAGTTCTATCAAATCACGATATATCTTTGGGAACACGGTTTCAACTTCTAACAATGAAGTACTTAAAAGGAGCTTTTGCTCACTTGTTCTCAAGGATCCCAGGCTGCAGAGCCACAGCCAATGGAGGAAGGACTTGAACCCACTTAAACAACTCGCCGGAAGTGGTGTGTTGTACCATGTGTCCACGAAACGTACGCACTATGTTTCTCATACACTTTTGAGCGCACCACATGCGTCCCTTTCCCGACAAGGCAGAGTGCACTACAGCAGACACTACCCACCTTTTGGAACTGTCTTACATAGACTCTGACAATGTAATGAAGGAGGGTCAGGGAGTTGTCCTGCAAAGAGACCACAAAGAACATTCCTAGGTCAACATTACCGACAGTGTTTTTGTTCGAGGGCTAACGAGCGCATTTCGCAATTGCTTTTGGAAGCTCACTTCTTTCTTCAATGTCATTACCTCGAGAGAAATTAAATTAATGAATAAAAGCGAAATCTGCTACGAGGTAAAGCATCGCGAGCGAACGATAAATAGTGAGTTGGTCGGAACTACTAACATCAGAAATCCCGAGGAGAAAAATGGTTTAAGTATCGATAGTGAGCCGTTTTCTTCTCTCTCGTCTCACGCATTTCAAGATTCAGATAAGACAAATTCTATAAATTATACGACTAATTATTGCCACAAAATGTAAAAATACCCCAAACCAAGTTAGATGTGCCAAGAAATAACCAATAACTAGTGTCGCACAAATATTTGAATTTTCAAGTGGTAGTTTCGAATAATATGCTACTCGATATTCGCTTTGATGTGAACTGCGGCATTCATATGTCTTTAAGCTAATACAAAAGAGCCACGAAACCCCACAATTTCTCATACATAGCTATTCTGTATACGACGATTTGATCAATACATTGATATACAGCTGCCAATTTTTTTTAATGTCAAATATTCAATTTGCGACATTAACGAACAAAAAAAATTACCGTATATTGCCGCGTATAAGACGATCCGAATATAAGTCGACCCCCCTAATGTTGGACAACCGCCAACCGAAAAAAAGTTTTTTTTTTTTTTTAAAGATGCAAGTTATGCTAAAGGAATATCACATTTATTCACATAGAGGTAGATGAGGTCTCCCTATGAGCTCGTGCCTCACTCGTCGTCGCTTGTGACGATGACGCAGTCACTGCTGTCGCTGCCTTGTGGGTCAGAGGGGCCGGACGGGGGAAGCGGCGTTGAAATCCCGCACTTGGAGAACGCTGCACGGACCATGTCCGCAGGCAGCCCGTACCAGGCGTCGTTCACCCACTGGGCCACAGTGCTCAACGAGGCACGCTTCACACGACCTGTCGGCGTCTTAGGGTTGTCCGCCTGGGCCATCCACTCGTTGTAGAAGGCCCCGACGCGGTCCTTGAAAGGCTTGTTAAGAACCACGTCAAGGGGTTGAACGACGGATGTCAACCCCCCCGGGATGATGACCAGGTCGCATCCTTCGTTGGCGATCGACTTCTTGACACGGTCCGTAATGTGTCCACGGAAAGAATCCAGAACGAGCATGCTCCGGGGCTTTAAGAGGGCACCCGGACGCCTACACCAGACGAGCCGAAACCACTCCAAGACGGTCTCCTCATTGAAAAAACCTTTCTCGTTGACGCGAACGATCACCTTCGGCGGAAACTGTTCGTTTTTGGGCATCGTTTTCCGCTTAAACACCAGGTACGGGGGCAGCTTGTGGCCATCGGCCGTGCAGCACAACATCGCGGTAAAGCGATTGTGTTCGTTCCCCGTCGTCAGCAAATTCACCTGGCGACAACCCTTTTCGGCGACGGTTCTTCTGCTCGGCATGTCGAACCAAACCGGCGTCTGATCAGCGTTGCCGATCTGGCCGAGCATGAAGCTGTTCTGCGTTCGGAGGTCATCAACGTAGCGATGGAACTCCTGCAGCTTGTCCTCGTAGGCATCCGGCAGCTTCTGGCACACAGTCGTTCGCCTTCTCAGGCTTAGCCCGTTGCGCTTCATGAAGTTGGTCACCCACTTCTTCGAGATCTTGAACTCGGTGCGCGCAATGTTCAGTTCCGTAGCAACTGCACGTGCCTTGCACTCAATATCTTCATAGGAAACACTGAGGCTTTTGCTTCGTTGGTCACCGACCCACTTTCGGACAGCCTCTTCGACGGCAGGATACTGTCCCTGCTTGGGACCACGAAAGGAGCGTCGCGTACCCGCGCATGCGAAGATTTGATCGCGTTGCCGCCGCCATCCCCTAACACACTTTTCAGAGACGCCGAAGTGCCGCTAAGCTGCTACGTTGTTTTCCGCTTCGGCGAAGAGGATGACTTTTCGTTTAAACAACGCGCTGTACTGGCGGCGAGCTTGCGGTGGCATTTTCGTCCGATGCAGTCTTCTGAACGAGCCAAGAAAGGAAAGATGGCGACGATGGTGCGCGCGATTTCTTTTCGGCGTGCCTAAGGACAAAATCAGACATTTTCCCTACGAAGTTCCGACTGAGTTTCTCGGGCAGTGATGAGCGCTTTTTCTTGCCAGTATAATATTTCTCTGTTGTTTAAATATATAACTAGATTTAAAAATATGTTTTAAGTTCCGAAATAAAGTCACCCAGACGTTGTCTTTCACTACGAATACGAAACTATGTCGTTATGTAGGGAAAAGTCCCTAGAACCCTTCATTCGGCTCAGAATGCGTGTAAACCCGCATATAGACCTTTTCATTCTTGTAGTTGCCCCACCGGCGGATAGAGGGCGCTGATGCAGTCGGCGCCATTAGGTTGCTTCAATTTGGTTGGTTTCGGTTTCAACGTGAACGCGGCTATGTTGCTGTTTTACTCTCTTTTTGCGTAATTTTCTGATACGATTATTTTCCTTGTAGCACACAACCAATGAAACATTGTGTGTTGAGCCATTTTGAGGTTGACGTAGGTGTATTTGAGCCTAAATTGGGGGCTGTTTTTTACCAAGTCTTTTGATGTATCTGATTATGGTCGGTTGCGAAACGTCTGACTGATGTACAGGGAGGATTACCATCGTCTACGCCCGTCCCCGATGACCACCAGTTTCCAGAAAAACCAACTAATGAAAAAACTAACACGTGAATATAAAGAAGCTTATCGACAGCTTGATTAGCAATGAGCTGAATCAGCCAGAACAGATGAACTCGCGAGTTTACTACTCACTGTTTGGTTTTAGTGGGCACCCAACCTTTAGTGAACTTTGCAAACTAAAAACGTATCTTGTAATGACGCAGATATTTGATATAAACAAGTTGTGTCGTCTCGGCCTTTTTTTTTAATTCAGTAATTCAGCATGTTTTGACAGGCCGAGTAGGAAATTTCTTATATTATCAACCCTGCTAAAAGTACTCATAAGCAGCATTTCGCGATATTGATCCTTGGAAATAAATTATTTT